TATGCAACACGGTAGTAGCAGTTGAGGAACAATGTTGGCATCGCATGTATAGACAACTCATCTTCAACGACATGCACTTTCCTACACATATGCAACATGCACTGTACTTTGCCACCAGATACGTTGACAACCGTGTTCTATTGCTACCCACACACCTCACACAACTTCCACCATTTCGGAAGCTCACAGATCCAAGCTTTTATAAACCACCGGTCCAGGTTGAAGCTGAACCGGCCAATGTTTTCTTGGGCTTTGCTGTGGATCCATGCTTCCACAGCCTCACACAGCACAACAATTTCACCATTGTTGATATCATGCACCCACGATCCGCCACCACAAAACAGGTTCTACGCAGTAGCTACCAAGCACGCACAAGACTCATACAGCGAGTATGTGCACCAGTGCTCGAGCACATGAAGCCGCACGAGCCATGCGCGGACTTTATGAGATGGTTGGTTCTGTGATCTCGCGGTAACACACTGGTGCGGATCCGAGCATGAGGTACTTGAGCACATATGTCAGGCAGACAGCTTCGCAGCATCCTTTCGGTTCTGTCAAGTCTGAATAAGACAGCCATGAAACGCACTATGGCCCAAGATACATGAACATAGCAGTGACGTCACAACCCACAACAAAGTTGGACGTCACTACTGGATTGCAGTCTGCCTCACATTTGTGGGGCTGTGTGTGTGAACTTTCTTGGCGCATGGGAAAAGGGTCACTCCTACATCTTTCTGCTTTTAGCACTGCGCGGGGCACAGGCTATTCCAAGCCAGGGGATGGGTGGTTTGATCAACCACCCTGTACCTGCAATGCTTGTGACATCTTGAACGTAACACTGCAGCTAGAAGAGGTATGTGTGCTGATGCCGTTGACTTTGGTGAAACGTGTGATCGTTGTCAAGTAGCTTGCAGTTTGAGGTCGACGGATGCTTTCATTGTTGCCATCAAATTTGTTTACTGTTTGCTGAGCTTCGGGTTCGCCGGAGTCATGTCTGGGAGCACTTCGCACGCGCAGGGGGACAAAGAGGTTACCAACACCATGACCAATGCGGCCCTTAACGGCCCCTCAGCTGCTTTAGTCTGAAATATTTCATGGTCTGGGCATTGGTTGCCATCCACAGCAGGCTTGAGACCAGTTGCTCTGCGCCGCAGGTATGTGGACACAGCTCGCAAGCGGAATGGTTTTGGTCTTCGACTACTGGGAAAGTTTCTGGTCTGAGATGGTTCCAAAAGAATCTGTCGGGCAGGCAGTTGTTGGCGGTTGTTGCAGAAAGATGAAAAACGACCATTCCAATCCTGACATTTTTGCAAGGAGTTGTATATCGTCCTGGTCAAGAGTTTTTGCCAGGGTTGTTGTTTCCGATTCTTGGGTAGTTTTGAGGCCTGCCTCACCCTCTTGGCACGCGTGTTGTCGCAGCCGGAATTTCGAGGCTCTGACATGACGTGGCTGGATGGCGCCTCGTGTCAGGCAGCCCTGATGCTTGCAACCACTTCTTGGATCTGTGTGCCGTTGGTGTTTTTCCTGTTGCTCCATCTGTCAGCGCCACTGCAACTCATACCGTACTTCGTAGCATGTTGTCCAGCATGTGCATGGCAACGCAGTCAGTATGAGTTATTGTGGTGGAGGCACCAGAATCCCGCTCCGGCAACAAGGCACTGGGGAGAATATGTAACCTTCAGCGTGGAGTCGCTCGAAGCCGTGGATCCCTCCTAACCTCGTTACAAGGATGTGAGGAGGCCTGCCTTTTTGAAGCATGTTGCCGCAACTCGTCCGAAGGCCCAAATCTCCAACATGCGCATCACCACAAACGCGTGAGTGGCCAGCGAAACCGCGCAATGCTGTACAGCCCTGAGCCTGGCATTGCTGCCTGCCGATGCATGAGCTGCAGCCTGCAGCAATGTCAGGAGAGCCAAAGATCCGTTCTAGCATCACTCTGCGAGGATGTCCGATGTCCGCAGGAAGCTAGAGACGGTGCTCTGCTTTTGTGATGTCAGCAGAACGTGCTGAAGGTGTTTCAATATGTTTCAATGCAGGCCGAGTCTTTGTTTCTGTAAAGAGCCAGCCCGCATCGCCGACGCAGACGCAGCAGCGAGCTGCGAGTCGCGCAACACAATAGGAGTCCCTCGAAAGCTTAATCGGATTGCAACGGCGGAGATTACCTAGTTCCAACCGAGCCCAGGCATGCTCTGCTCCCTTTCGAGTCCCGAGTTGAATCTCGCAACGCAGCTGTTTCTTATCGTCATGATGCAGTTGCACCAAAACCCTAGACGATCTGCATACAGTCTTGTGGAGTCTAGGTGCATGTACAGTGAGCCCAGCAGGTCCGTTGGGCACGGACTCAGCACTTGCAAACTGCCGATCCAGGCACACACACACACACACACACGCACGGACAGGACCCCAGCTCTCCTGCGACACCAGCCTCTTCAAGCAACCGTTTAGTAACCGGACTCCACACCGATGCGATTCGGGGCATGGAGCGGCTGAAAGCAGGCAACTTGTCGCACCGCTGTGAAGTTCAGTAGCTAAGAACCCGTACGTCTTCTCGGTCGTGTCGGATTGTCGGATGTTCGTTGATTTCCGTCTCCACCCATCTCAAACTGCCTACGTACAGAGTGTCAAGAGCGTCCCAAGGTTACGAGAAGTTCAGAGAGGCCAAAGGCCATCTCTTGAACGAGGCTGTGTGAGGCATGTCTTGGCGTACTGTGGCAGGGGAGAACTTCGAGCAATGCTCTGCCCCATGCCAGGCTGCCGGGCCAGTGATGCAGAAGTTCATGCCTGTGCCGGTCTCGGGTCTCCAGCGGGTCAGAGGGAAGCCATTGTGGTGCTCTCGCTGTCCTCAGGTGCACGCGCACCTCTCCCCCCACTCGAGGCAGCACTCCATCGCTGGCCCCGGCCTCTGCCGCTTCGCCTTTCGCACTTGATCAGCTCGAGGAGCAGCCCAGAGGTCTACTGTACACCAAATCAAGGCCGTTCGGTCACCGAATCGCGTCAGATCAGCGAGGGCGGCTTTGCATTCGTCTGGCTGGCCAAAGCCCAAGTCTGCAGCCTGGTTCTCGCGTGTGCTTCCGCCTGAACATTCCGAGGTCCACGACGCCCAAACCAACGAGGCAAGCGGTCATCGACATGTCCTCTTTCGGAAGGTTGGTTTTTTCTCTTCGGGGGCCGAGGAAGATGACCGAAGATCAGGGCACAGTACCGTAACAACCATTGTGCCGTTTAAGCTCGCCATGACATTGGCGTCGGTTTGAACCTTCGAAAAGCCGGGAAGGACATGGTCCTCAAGAAGATCCGCTGTCAGGAGCCTCTTGTTTGCTGCTGCAGCTGTCCCGAGGTGTCTTGCAGAGGTCAAGGCCCCGTGTGTCGCAGGTCCTGGGTGTAACTGTGACTCGATTGTTGCGAAAGCGGTGTCCTGGAATGCCTATGCAGACACAAACAGCACGCAGACTCCGGTGCTACCGCCACCACTCTCAGTCCTCCGCTACAACTCAATTCATCAACTTCTGCTGGCAGGGTTGACCTGTGCAGTGCCTTATTTTCGACTGCGGTTTGAGGTATTGCTGCTTGGCCTTTTGGGCTTTGTTTATGTTCCATAGGCTCAAAACCCTCTGAGGTTTGATTGGCGAGTTTTATGAAGTTAGTGCAGCCGATCAGGAGCAGTCTAGCTCGTCTGGTATTTCGGGCTCTCCTGCGCCAGGACAAAGCTTCTTTTGCAATGGCAAGACGAGAAGTTCAACTGTGTGGCCGGCTTGTGTTTTGGAGTTTAGTTTCCACGTCCAAGGTTCATCTCGCTGAGACTCTTGGCGCTTGCTTTGGGGTCAGTGCTTCAAATGTTATCCGCGGCTGGTGAGTCTACTTGGAAGCCTCCGCTTCTCCAGGCTGGAGAGACTGCCCCGGCATCCCAACTTGGTTCAGTGCGCCTTCAGTTGGTTCCACGTTCCGTGTCCTATCTCAGCTGTGTTATCTCTGTGCACCATTGAGATCGTGAATGGACTATCCAAACATTGCCACCCTAACAAGGCTCCCCTCCCACTCGGTGGAGACCCCGTCAATTGTTCCTCAACTTCCTGTCGTCAGGCCGTGTGTTGACAGGCACTAGGTGCCGGGCGTTGCAGATAGACTCAGCTGACGTACTCAGTGCAGGTTTCAGCATCCTTGTCGCAAGTGTCGTTGGCTCCGGCAGGTATTTCGGAGACATTCTTTTGACCGAGGGCAAGTCCAGAGAGGTGGGATGAAGTAGGCTGCTTGGTAGCCTTTCCTGCAGCTGCAATGACAAATGCATTGCAGTTGTTCCCGAACCGAAACCCAGGCCTGAGAACATGTTGCAGCATTGCGCTTCCCGTGCAGCTGTTTGTTTTGGGCTCAATCGTACCATGTCAGGGGCAGTAACAGTACAAGTGTAGATTGAGGAGCACCGACACGAAGAGAGCAAAAGCACTTAGCAGTCCTAGCCTTTCTTCGTCCGTGGACTGCAGTTGCCACCAGAGCGAGGCTACTTGCTCCTCGGACCCAACGTTTTGCAGATCGTTCGCCTGGGGTTGCCAGGGTCGCGGGAAGTCAAGATCGAGGCTGTGTGAAGCAAGTCACCGAAAAGCCCTCAGCAGATGAGGAGGTGAGGCTTCCATGCTGGTGCCATTCTCCGTGGGTAGTCCGAAACAGTGCACAGCGTGCTGCGTATGGGCGGGTCCCAGGCATCCAGTGTCTTGAGAGTGCAGCTCACTGCATCTCCTCGTTTCAGAACACAGTCGCCTTACGAAGTAACGTAACGCCCGGTTGTTTGCAGCTGAGGGCAGACCTCATGTGGCGCTGCTTGTCCGCAGCCCTGCTCTACTTGTGCCTGGCCCGCGATGCATGCGAGGATGGGTCTTGCTAAGGTCTGAATCCCAGAGTTGTCTTGTTCCACAAGTGGAAAGACCTCAACTTTCACTTCATGTTGTCCAGCCCTGTTGCAACATGCTGCACGCAGCCAGAATTTCGCAGGTCAAGAGCCCACGGCCATGCTACAAGCCAGGAGCAAAATCAAGGCAAGGCAGGTTACGCGTGCGCGGAAGTCCCGTGCTTCTTTCAGCTTGAATGCTGGGGGCATCTGTCTTGAAGTGCCGGGCATCCTGCGAAAATGCTTCCTTCGTGTTCATGTGGCACAGTACAAGGGTCTGCTGGACGATTCTTGTCAGCTTGGTGCACCTTTGCTATCATTGCAATGTCGTCAGGCCAACTGCACTGGAAGCAGGTGTGGCCGGGAGCGCCCCAGCTCCGTTCTACAAAGGAACAATCGAGACATGGATGGTTAAGGTTTGAAGGGAATTTGGGGCCTTGCATGGTTACCTATTAGGGGCATTGAAGGCTACTGATTCGGGCACCCCGGAAGCTTTCAAAAAGTAAGCAGTGCAGAAGGCCACTGCTTGAAATGGTTAACGGCCCCTTTCCAGGCTGGACAAATGTGGCCACAAATCTGGGGGACAAGGTAACCAGAAAACGGAATCGGTGAGACAAGGCCTTCCGTTTGGTACAGAACGTCGGAACGTCTTTTGCAAACAGGCCTTGACCTTTGCAGCCGTCCGCAGTCCTGACCCAGGAACTTCTGAGTCTATCCCGGAGTTCCAAATCCAGGAGGCCAGGTCCGAATCTACTTCCTTTCTCTCGAGTTCTGTGCTAGTAGCTTGGCTCCTTTCTCATATGGCGCAGAGTTAGACGGGCTAGATGTTTGGCACTTTCCTTGCATCATCATCATCCTGCTCTGAGATTTGATGTTGGGCACAAGATCACGTTGCACTCACGCGCGACTGCATGGCTGTTTCTAGCATTGCTTCGATGCAAACAACGCAGAATATTGTAGATAGACGTGTTGCCAGAGATGCAGGCACATGTTTTCTGAGAAATCGAACAACAAGCTGTTGGCGAGGACGGGACCTGGAACACATACTTTCTGCCGGGGGCGACCGTCCACGACAAGAGAGCCGTCACATATGGCATCAATGACAAGTACTACCTCAAGCTTCTTGGGCAGAACATAGAAACTTCGGATAGCATTGGTCCGGGTCTGAACACACAGCATTGTGTTTAGACGCTGGTGTGCAGATGTGCAATCTTGCATAACTGAACATACTGAACATTGAACATCTCAAGGAAGCTCCGCACTGCGGACAACTCGGAGGCGCAGAACTTCAAAATGCTCCAGTTGCCGGGGAAGACCCTGCTGCTCAGCTATGCTCAGCGAGTTGCTGTCACGTGGAATAGAGTTGGGCTGTTTTCTTGGGGGGCGGCACGCAGCCATGCCGCAGCCGCGCCTCGAAGCCCGCAGCCGAGGATCGTTGAAGTAGACCTCAATGGTGCCGGCTGCGGCTGCAATGTGCCTCGCAATGAAGCGGCCCCCTTCTCTCGACGTGGCGCAGCGTCTTTTTCCCAAGGTGAACTTCTTCCTCGTCTCGATGCCTGCTGCACAGCCTAGCGAGTATGGGGATTACTACTGCATCTCGACTGAGTTTGTCAGAGTCGCTTGCTTGGTGATTGAGATCATTCACATCGTTCCGCGCCTGCCCAAGCCTTAACCTTGTGTCTGGTGTGTCGTCTCGTGTGAGGTGACGGCAATGGGGTGGGCGGCAATTTCTGCCCCGAGTTCGACACAAATGTTCCTCTGCATTGAATTAGTAACTAGGATGCTGGCTAGTTTTGCCCTTGAAGCTGTGAGGAGATGAACCAGCACGCGCTTCAGATCACAAACCACAACTGCTGGGAGCCTTGGAGCAGGCGAAGAGCGGGAGCGCGGACCCTGGGGCCGAAATCATCCCGGCCCCCTTTGGAAGGCAGACATGCGACGGCGACGGGGATCCAGAGATGAAGTCGGCGTCTGAGCCAGCCTCTTCAAAGAGCGAGTCCGACCCCAGACAGCCTAAGTAAGTCTCTTGCCTTTCCTTTGAAGGTCTGGTTTTGAAGGTGCAAAGTTGAGTCTTGAGGGTAGTTGCATCGCGAAGTCGGACTCGACGCTTCGTCAACCGGCTCCGAGGGAAAGTAAAAGTTAAGGCCCCCCGGGGGCCTCTCCCAACTGGCTTATTTGGAATTTCTTCGGATGTAGGCGACAGAGATTGACGATCAGCTTCCCCGAGAGCCCGGCGTTTGAGCCGCAAGCGCACGCAACCAGGTTCTACCCTGGCGAGTTCGGGCCAGGAGACTGGAACAAGATTGACACCAATCAGAAGTTCTTCTTTTCAGCTCCTCGGCGTAGGCTTGAGGTCGGTTGCCGACGGTTGGGCTGTGGGCTGTTGCTGAGGTTCAAATGAAGGAGGTGATTTCTGGAGATTCGGATCCGGCCAACCACCTGATCGTGGAAACCAGGGCCTGGCAGGCCGGAGGGCCTGGGCTTCTACGTCACACCTGAAACCCCCTGCTACGAAGGGGCCGGGCCGTGTCATCAAGAAGCAGATGGGCGGTGTCAACTCACCCATGAATGGTCGCGTGGCTCGCAAGATGTAGAGATATGTCATCACGCAGGGCTAGAGTCAGCTTGGAAAGGTGGGTCTTCTGAAGACACGGGAACCCTACCTGCAGAAATGGCCCAGTTGAAGGATCGATGAAAGGAGTGTCAGGATCAGTTTTGGAGATGCTTTGCTTGTTAAACTAGAACAGACCTCACAGCAGACTAAGGCCTTCCAACAACTTAGAACGACACCCACCTCCCCCGGGGAAGCTACGAGCTACAAAAAGAAAATTTTTCCTAAGAGGGCGACTCTTGTGCCTTCGGTGCGAAGCGCCGTCGGGTGCACATCTCTGTCAATTGCTCCTGCGGAAATTCGAGATCCTTCTTGAGTCGATCTGCTGCATCCCAAGCTTTTCAAGCTCTTTGCTACATCCTATCTGCAGAAGCCGGTTAGGGCACAAAGGAGGCCTCGCACGTTCTTCACGGCACAGCCTGACCCTCGCTTAGGACGAAGACTCCAGCCTCGGAATAAGCCTGCTAGCTTTCGATTGCGCGTGAGCTCGTGCGGTCGCAAAGCAGTTGCAACTCGCCGTTGCGATGGTCAGCAGGTCAGATGTCCACAAACCCATCCGCTTATATACCTTGACACACGGGCCAAGCCAGCGTGAGCCTACCGGCTGTCCTGTGCAGGTCGCTCCAGCTGTTTGTGAGCGGGAAGGTGAGTGGAACGAACCGATGGAGCCTGTGGCCCATAACCGTGCCATGCTTACCAACAACTCTTCGGGTCCCGAAATTACAAAGAAGCGGACGCCTTGTGCATTCCGCCACCAGTCTGAAACAACTGGGTACCTTCACCAACGTGGGTGGGACCGGCGACCACCATACTGCAATTCGATCCATCCCACCGAGCTTCCTGCAACTGCGACAGGGTCTCCGAATCAATCCGCTTTCCCAACACTCGGAGCAAACTCTCGTTTTCCATTCAGTTTGCCGGCAACAGTTCAGATGGGCAGATTCTGCAGTTGAGCGACATGCCTTTTTTTCAGTCCTCATTCTGTTCGGATTGTCGGATTGTGCGCGCACACAAGTTCGTAGACTGGAAGGAAGATGCATGGCACTGGGGCTGCACTCCTCTGCATCCTTGTCCCAGGCATGTGGGGAAATCTCGCCAAAGGCATGGTCTTGGTCATCGACTATTGGGAGAGACGCTTGGAAGCCCATGGCCAATGTCCGCCTACTTTCTTTCATATTCGTGCTATGCTCGGCTCAGGCCAGGATCTGACATGGCTGGATGGTGCAGCGTGCCATGCCCCTTCTCACTGCAGTGGAAACAAGACACTGTGTCATTTATGTAGTTCTCTCCCTTCTTCCTCCTTCCCTCCCGACTTGCCTTTTGCGTGTGTATGTTCTTTCGAAGTCTTTGCTACCGGCTTGCACCTACCTACTGCCAGCACTGCAGCAGGCCACGATCAGCAACATGCAGCTGATCAAGAACGACAACCCATCGCTGTCGGCGAGTGAGGGCCCTAGCTCTGAAAAGCCAAGTTATGTCATGTCATGTCCAAGCGCCACAGATGGCTCGCAAGCTAACCTGAGGCTGCCCGGCGAAGGAGGGCTACAGCTGTGACTGGGCCGACCAAGAAGGTGCTTGTGACAATGATGACCCTCGGCAGAAGAGGAATTCGCTTTCGACGGCTGCCAGCCATGTAGACTCTGCAGCCCACTGCCGGCTAGGTCAGGGCCTGTTGTCACCTGTTATCAGTTTTTTGTCGACTAAGCTTCTTCAGTCAACACAATGCATCGGCCAAGCCTAATGTTTGACTCGCGTGCCCCCCTGGAATCTATCGGGGCTGAGCAAAGGATGCGACGGAGGGCTGGTGTCGGTGCTGCTGCACCAAATGCAGCTTGGACAAAAATTCAGCTCCTACATCCCCACCCATCACACATCGTACTCAATATCTAGGGCGTCTAGGGAGTCTAGGGTCAGCGAAGAGGAAGTGTGTTGTCTGCGATGTCAGATTTTTTACATGAGAACTGTGTCGAATCAAGAGCTCAAACAGAAGCTCCAGGCTGTGTATTTGTGTGCCTCACTCCGGAGCTGGTTTTTGTCGCCAGGTTCTTCCGTGCCTCGTTGCCTCTGGTCGGGCTATTCTTCCTTTTCATAGGTGGAGCGGAGCCCCGCAATTGCCGGATGCAAGCCTTTGCCAGCGCGCATCCTTGATGCGCGTAGAGCCAATTTCCAGCCAGAAGGGCTGCTAATTAACTCGTCTCGGCAAGTTTTGAACCGTTGTAATCTCCTGGAGTTATGCGGAGCACAAAGGGCTCAGGCGACTCAGGCATCCCACTTTGCGAAGTCGATGGCGGGCATGATGTTTGCACCAGGGATCAGGGTTGGCCTGGCGGTTCTCGACTGTTGGGTGTCAGATGGTTGGATTAGGATGGGCTTTGCATTCCATCCGGAGTCGTGTGGCAATCACCGGACACCGTACACGGACTAGCTTCGACAAGGAATACGGGTCGTCCTCGTATGACACGAGTTCCTTTTGCCTTGCAGGTCGGCCTGCTGTTCGAGTTCTGCTCGGGAGGGCACCTTCTGAACTTCCTCGACAAGCACGAGGCAAATAAACAGAAGCTGCAGAATCACTGAGTCTTTAAGCTATGAATTCGCATGTGTCCTTCTGTCGCAAATGTATCCTTCATAGAATTGCTCTCTCTACCGATTAGGAGAGGTCCATAGCGGCGCCTGCAGGGGAGGCTCTCCGAGAAGCTTATCGTGGAGACCTTGTCCGAAGTCGTGGCAGCCGCTCGGTTGCAGCGCATCGCGCTCTACTGGCGATGCTGGCGCCGCGTCTGGTCTTGGTACTCTCCGTGCGCCGTGGACCTCCCTGCTCTTGTCTGAGGGAGTCGCCGTGCTGCACAGCTTTCTGCCACCAGTGCAACATCGCGACTTGAAAGCTCCACTTCTGCAATCTTTCAGGGTTCGAAAGTGGTGAAAGGAAGAAGGCAGGATTGCACGGAGGATTCTGCAGTTTCCGACTCTGCAATGCGGAAGGTGCAGTGAAGTTCTTTTGGATAGGTTAAGGACCAGACTGTCGCTGCAGGATGTCCAGCCAGCGATAGCACCTGTATCATCTTCGCAGATATCGGTTCACGACATTGCCTGCAGACCCTTGCACGTTTGGATAGTGACTTGCCCGGCACAGGTGGAGAACGTGCTTCGGGGCAGCGACGGACATTGGAAGTGCCTTGGATCGGCACAGCACGGAGGGAGCATTCCGCAGCAGCGACACTGCGAACGCAAGGCTCTTGGACTTCGGCTCATGGAGTGACGAGCGTGGGGCCCTCCGAAGCCTTGGTGTAATCCACATCAGGGGCAATAGCTCTATATAGTCTATATATATATATATGTATGTATATGTATATGTATATGTATACGTATATGTAAATGTTTATGTATATGTATATGTATACACAGGGAGCTGTCTTTTTCGTAAGAGTCTTGAGTTATCATTGCGCCATGGTTCGGGAATACAGGCCAGTTTTTTTATATCAGAGACGAGCACGCGAATTTATCAAGGGGATGCACGTGCATTGTCAATTGTTAAGAAGATGTGAGGTTATCATTCACATGTGCAGGTTTTGTTCAGGGTTTAGGGCTTAGGGTTTAGGGAATCCGTTGCACGTGTCTGAAACATGTTTTCCATGTTTCTGAAATGCCCCCCGCCCTGCGCCTGATAATCCCGACCTGTTCTTGACAAAGCCATCGCAAGTGCTTGATAACCCCGTTCCATGTTTTGAACCATGGCACCTGAAAAAATCATCACCCTGTATGCACATATTTTGTTCTATCAAATTATTCATATTGATATGTATATGTACAAGTATGCACCCACACACACATATACACAGATGTACATATGTATATATATATGTATGATATATGTATATACACATACATATATACATAGGCAGATAGCAGACAGAGAAATAAACAGAGATACAGATATGTACATAAATGTATACACATGCATTTATACAAGCATTTGTGTACACACACATATATATATATGACCATATATATATACACACATACACATACACACACATAGGCACATCTATGTATGTATGCATGTATGTATGTATGTATGTATGTGCGTAGGTATCTAGGTATGTGTGTCTGTACACTTGATTGAGTGGCGTTGCAAACATTACCTGCACGAATATCAACACGTTTTCACGTACAGTTTCTCTCCTTGTGTCATACTCTGATTCTCTTTCCACTGTGCTTGTTTGTGAGTAATCCTTTCCCCCTTTTACTAAATGCCCCCCTAATAATAAAAATACATCGACCGAAATCCACCGGGAATAATCCCTGCCCTTTAAAACCCATTTTGAATTAGGGGGGGTGGATTAGGGTTAAGGGTTCAAGGTTAGGGTCTGGTGAGCCCTCTGTCTTTAAGCTGCCTCGGCTCTGTCTGTGCGAGCCTGGCTCTTCGGCCTTCCTCACAGCTCATAGATAAGACAGAAAGAATTGTCTGCTTGTCTCTGGGTTTGGACCTGAGGGTTTAGTGCGGTCTGGCATGGAAAGTTGAAGCTTCGAGCGATACTGGAAATCGTCGATTTCTGAAGAGGTTTAGGAATCGTGGCAAATGCCCAGGAGTCTGGCATGAGCCCAGAAGTTGAAGCTTTGTATAAGCAGCGATACTAGAAATCGTCGATTTCTGAAGAGGTTTAGGGGTCGTCTCAAATGTTCAGGAGTCTTAAACTTGTACTACAATCAAGCACAATCCAGCCAGCATCCGAAACGAGGCACTGCCAGTACTAAACTTGTACTACAATCAAGCACCATCCAGGCAGCATCCGAAACGAGGCACTGCCAGTACTAAGCTTGTACTACACTCAAGCACAATCCAGGCAGCATCCGAAACGACGCACTGCCAGTACTAAACTTGCACTACAATCAAGCACAATCCAGACAGCATCCGAAACGAGGCAGTGCCAGTACTAAACTTGTATTAGAATCAAGCACAATCCAGCCAGCATCCGAAACGAGGCACTGCCAGGACTAATTAAACTTGTAATTACTACAATCTGCCAATCTGCCCGATTGCCTTTGGTCAGTCAAAAATCTCGATTCCGGATGGGGGCCCGCAAATCCCGAAACCTGCCCGATTGCCCTTGGTCAGTCAAAAATCTCGATTCCGGATGGGGAACCACGCAAATGACAGCGGAGGGACTCGAGCCCGTGAATATCCACGAGGCTCACCGAGGGTGTATTGTTACACATTAAGCTATACCTGCCCTGGACCAATGTGCATCACAGATCACATACCATTCGACGGCCATGTGGACCATTCATAGAGCGTGCCAAAACCGGTCTGGGGCATTTCGACCGGCCGACGGAGTTGGAGGTGTTAGCCACTGCTCCATTTTTTTGTCATAGGCTAGAGTTCAGGGCACCCAAACCCTACAGTAATTGCTTGATTGTGCGGATCTCGAGCACCTGGAGACTCAACTGGTTGGCTGAGCCCAAGGGCCAGGCAAACAAAGGCCAGGCGAACAAAGGCTGGAAGGGCCAGTCGGGCATCCATGAGCTCACCAAGGAGCTGGAAAACAATCAACCGCTGGAATGGCGAACTCGTGATTCGAGACGGTGCTGACCAGATCCGGGCGGCGACTGGGCAGGGTGGCGACCAGAACCTCTCACCCGAACCTGCCGGGGCTGCGTCTTTTTCTTTGTGTTTGCGTGATTGAACTTTGGATGTGGGATCTGAGATGGACGTGGCAACATCCAAAGTGATAATTGCAGACTTACTAAACTTGTACTACAATCAAGCA